TCCCAACCAGAAGTGGAGACAGAACTTGGAACCACAAAGCTTGGAGACAACACCCCGCCCCTATCCCCACCCCCACCCTCACTGCGGGAACAGTGAAATCCCAAGAACTGATTAGCTTCGAACGCCCTCTCAGTGTGGCCCGGGCCCACTGCTGGGTGCTTTTTGCTTCTTCCACAGCTGCGCCTGCGCCCGGCCTTCTCTCGCTCCACCTGAATGACACTTGCTTTACTCTCACTCCGATTCGTCCTGGACATCTTTCCGGGAGGGTCAAGGTCCTGGAGGTCCCTGACTCCCGCGGAGGCTGGGCCAGCCCAGGTGCGGAAGCGGCCCAGTAACAGAAATACTATTTCCACAAGGTGTTCCCTTCACAGAAGGCAGCTGGAGCTCCAGCCTTATGACCTTGGTCCAAGATTTATCTCGCCTGTGCCTCAGTTTCTCATCTGTGACCACAGGGGTTACAGGCTGGGAGAAGAACAGGCATTGTACTGAACACCCGCTGTTTCTCCCAGGCCTAGAATCTTCAGGAAGGTCTACTGCTCAGACAGGCTTCCAGCTCCCACAGTTACTGGCCTTCCAGCTCACTTCAGGGGAGGGGTTGAAGGTGTGAACAATGAAGCGCTTTCTTTCCTGAAAATCAAAGCCACACGATCACTCGGTGTTTAGTGATGTGTCATGTTTATGGGGACCATGCAAGTTACTCAAACAGGCGTCTTCCTCATAGAGTGTCACTTTCTAAATTCGATTAATTGAATAAAAATGTTCATACGTGTAAAGGAACAATCTATTTTAATGAACCATTTTTGTAAAACAAGGATTTGTATTCTATGATCATTCCAACTCATACATTTAAAAGATAATCTGCGTTTTCATACACAAGGATCGCTTAAAGCAAATTGCTTAAACCTTTCTAGTTCACAGACTCAGAGCTACAGTAGAGAGTCTACGGCTCACTCAGCATAACCAATCCCCAAATCCCAACTTCAGGCATTAAAATGCCCTGCAGCCCATGGATCGAGGGGGATTGTGAGGTCAGTCCCGGCTCCTAGGGGAGGGGTGGGTGCAGGCGCCGGGCTTGCAAACAGGACAGCTCAGGGCATAGCAGCGGGGGCAACAGCTCTTCATGAAAAACCGGAACCTGGGCAGTGTGACTTCCATGGCCCGGAGCCGGGCCAGACGCAGAATCGTACAGGAATGGACTACTTAAGGTGCTCCCTCCAGATGCTAACAGCTCAGGGGCCGAGGGAATGGCTCAGAGCTGGGTTCCAGGGGCCGCCCCAGGAAACCCTTGCTGAGCCAGCCTCCTCGAGCTCCTTCCTGTGTCCTAAGAAAACAATTCTCATTTTTTGTTTGAAATGTAAAAACAAATATCCCCCTGGCGCTGGGCGCACTTGCTGTTTTGTGTCATCAGAACAAACTGGGCAACGTTTACACCCAGTGTTACCCCTCGGGGGAGGAGTTAGGCTGCTCTGCTCAGCCCGGAGGCAGGTGGGAGCTGCTGCTGCTGCTGGAAGCTCCCCACCTGGGTCCGCTGGCCTGGCCGGTGAAAGGCTCCTTTCCTGACGGGAGGGAGGGGTCTGGTCAGAAATGAAAGGCTCGTGCTGGCTCTGGACTTGACAGGAAGCATTTCCCGGAGCTGTGAGCCGTTCTCCGTGGCGGCTCAGCTTCAGTCCCCCCTCTGCGTCTTGGCCCCTTTATCACCGCGAAGCCCTCCTGGTTCACATGTGATTTCAGTAAATTTCTGTTTAAAAAAGTCCCGTGTCTCCATTGTCTAATTTCAAAACCAGACGCACAGCAGCGATGAAGTGATGGTCAGACCAGCTCTCGGGAGTCCGCCTTGGGTCTGGAGCTCCGTGCTCACCAGGATGAATCCCTCCGGCAGCGCTGGCTCTGGTGTGCCCCCCCCCCCGGGCCTGGCACACACACTGCGCAGTGATGCGTGTGGAGCGGGTACGAGGAAGAAGGTTTATAGTCGACGTGATCTCTTGCTCTCGTTTCTCACCCCACGGAACGTCACGATCCAGCGAACTGTTCTTCCTGTGATTCCAGGAATACACGCGCCGTCTCTGACACGCCAGCCAGTGCCTTTGTGTTGAGTGGTGAGCGCTCCTCGTCCCCGCCAGTTTCTGGTGGGAGTGGGCTTCTTGCGATGTCCCAGGAAAAAGCACTTTCTGAGACGCGCATGGGAGGATGAGTGGTTGTAGGAAGCTGTATGTCTGTGGAATTAACCCCTCTGTCCCACCACGGAGAACTTCCGCCTGTGCCTTCAGCAGGGCTAGGATCACAGCCAGGCCCGGAGCCTCCGTTCCAGGTCGGAGCAGGGTCCAGCCGGCACCGGCTGGCTTGGCTTGGGCTCCTGCTGCAGTCCACCGGCCCATTGCGTGGATGGACGCACGGCTATGAAGGGGACACGGCAGGAGCAAAGCCAAAGGAACCAGCGCCAAGAGGGCAAACTTCTCTGGTTGGGGCTTAGGTATCCCCAAATTTTCAAGGCTTGCAGTGCCCTGTCCCCTCTAGTCAATGACCCCTGTTCCGGGTTTGACTGACAGGCATCTGCCCTAATCACTCCCACTTCCCTGTGCAGGCACCCACCTCCCCCCTGTTGGACCCCTTGCCCAGGTGACTCGCAGGGAATGTGCTGGTGGCTCCCTGGGGAGGGTGAAGTTGCAACTTCCCGGTGAAGCTGCCCAGTGACCGGCCTGTCATGTCTGGCCTCCTCTGCTCCTTTCCGACTATGACAAACCAGCTAATTACAATGTACCACTTGCACGCGAGGTCCCTCGGCAAGGACACGAGCCCCGGAGCTCTCCCTGGGACACTGCTCATCTGCTCGGAGCTGCCTCCTCTGCGAAGTCCTCTGGGCGCACCTGCACCTGCTGTGGCTCCCACGGGAGTGGACTTTCTTACCCAAGTGCAGTTCTCGCGCTGGCTTCCTGCTTCTCCCTCCCCCAGATTTGAAGCAACTGAGGCCACGGTCACCTTTGACGGGCACTGGAGAGTTATTTTGTGAAATAAATGAACAGCCTTACCGAAACTTTCAAAAACCCTTTACAGTGCCCAGTATTCTGGTGTGTGTAGGGTTTGGGCTTATTCAATATTTTTGATTGATTTGCTAGATTACCAGGTGCTGCCACGCTTCAATTTTCTTAGCAGATACAGGCAGAATCTCATTTTAACTGTCATAATCACACGGGTACATTTTGTTCCTTTGAAACATACATCTACCAACAATAAAAGACACACACACACACACACACACAACAGACACACAGACACACACACACACACCCAACTTCTCCCATCCCAA